CTGTACTTGGCGTAGTTTTTTACACGTAAGTGTTTTTTGGGGGATATATATTACAGTATCATCTGCAAACATTTTTACTGTACCTTCTTCTGGGCACAGGTGAACTATATCATTTTTATATATATAACGAACAGCAGTGGCCCTAACACCGATCCTTGTGGTACTCCGTATTTTGTTTCTATAATATTTGAAAATTCTCCATTAAACCTAACTTGCTGAGTCCTATTGCTTAAGTACGATCTAAACCATTCCCATACTTTTCCCTTTATTCCATATTGCACTAGTTTTTCCAATAACAGCTCTCTGTCCACAGTTTCAAACGCTCGTTTCAAATCCATGAAGATTACTCCCACTACTTTCCCTTCACTGATATTTGATTTCCATTCATCAACCACGGTTTGTATTGCCGTTTCACACGAGTGCTTCTTCCGAAATCCCGACTGATGTTTCGTGATTATGTTATTTGCTTCTAGATGTTCTTCTAGTCTGTCCTTTACTGCTATTTCCAGTACTTTTTCGTATATCGGTAACATGTTGATTGGTCTGAAGTCACTACCGCTTTTTGGTTTCTGTACTTTTGGTATCGGTATTATGGTAGACGTTTTCCAGTGACGTGGACATTGTCCTTCCTTAAATGAGGTGTTAATAATGTCGATAAAATCATCTTGAATAACTTCTCTAGCTGTTTTTAATATACTACTGGATATTCCTTCTTCCGTTCCTTTTTTTTTGGTACTTTACTTATAATCTTCTGTAGTTCCACTATATCGATGGCTTTGAACTCATCGAGCCATTGTTCATTTTCATACACTATATTACTGTCTGCGTCTACTTCCGTGTCTATAGATTTAACTACTTTGTCTATGCTATTTACAAACAACATATTAAATTTATCAGCTACACTTATATTTGACTCGAGTTTGGTTGCATCAAGCCCTAGGTCTAAGTCCACTACTTCGTTTTTGCTTACACTCACCCCCCTCAGGATTTCTTTAAGAGATTTCCACATTTTTATAGGGTTCTGTTTATTCTCATCTATCACCTTCTCGTAATAATCCTTTTTTGTTTTCCTTATTAGTTTTACTAAATTATTTCTCTCTACTCTATATTCTGACCATTTCTCCTCCGTTTTTTCATATTGCGCTTTGATATATGCCTTATCTCTTGCCGCTGCTACTTTTCTTACTTCTTCAGAATACCATTTCTTACCTGCCTATTTACTAGGTATTTTAAATTTCTTCCGAGGTGCGACCTGATCTAAGGCTTTAATCATACTACTGACTAATCTATTTGCTTTGGCATGTACGTCTCCACTTCGCACTTCATTCATTTTTATAATGTCACCTAATACTATCTTGTAATGTAGCTCAGAGTATTTGCTAGAATCCCTCGCTATGAACTCTTTTCCTCCCGTTTCTAAGTGCGTATCCTTGAGAGTGACTTGTATCCACGAGTGATCCCTTATTTTCGGTGTATGTTGGACCTGTACCTATATGTCCATATTGGCAAAGGCCAAATCTATAATAGTCTGGCTGCCATATGTGACTCTTGTTGGCTCTTGTACATATTGTTTCATCCCTAATTCTTCCATTATTACTTGCAATTTTCTTGCATAATATAATTCACTTTTCATATCTATATTAAAATCCCCAACTATTATACATTCCCCTTTAACAATAATTTCTTTAGTTACTTCTTCTATAAATTCTATAAATTTTGCATCTGATGCACTCGGCGAGTGATAGATAGCAGCTATCACACCTTTATATGCTGGATCCCTTACTTCCATAATGTCTTCTGTTAGCCTCGTTTCCGTCAAGGCCAAGAACATAGGCCTCCTCTTCCTAAGAACTTCTTCTTCAATTTCGTCCTTATGTATTAGTAAAGTTTGCGCATTTGTGCACATTAGTATTTCTCTTCTGCACCTTAATTGCTATTCATCAACGAGGTGTTCTGTTCTCTTCCGTTCTTCTTCCATCATCCTCTTGAATGTGGGACATTCTTTATCATACATATTAATACCCCACCTGTTCTCCTATTTTCACATTTTACTATATTATATCCCGCCACTTTTATTTCAGCCTCCATAATGTCTTCTGTTAGCCTCGTTTCCGTCAAGGCCAAGAACATGGGCCTCCTCTTCCTAAGAACTTCTTCTTCAATTTCGTCCTTATGTATTAGTAAACTTTGCGCATTTGTGCATATTAGTATTTCTCTTCTGCACCTTAATTGCTATTCATCAACGAGGTGTTCTGTTCTCTTCCGTTCTTCTTCCATCATCCTCTTGAATGTGGGACATTCTTTATCAAGTGCATCATGTTCATCGCTTATCGACACATGATACTTTTGTATCTTAAACATACAGTTTACGTATCTTTTCTTGGCTTCTTTGCATTCACTGCCTTTGTGCTTACCCGCACAGTGCTGACACGCCTCTTCTCGTTTGCAATACTTCGCAATGTGATTGTATCCCCAACATTTAAAACATCTTTTAACACTTACAAAATCTTGTACTGGACATTTTTTCCATCCCAAGTTAAGTTTCCTCTTCTCGATTATTTTGTTGTGCGTTTCGGTATCTACTTCCAGTATCACCGTACCTTCCGTGTTTCTTCTATCATTTTGCTCTCCCACTCTTACAATTTTTCTTATCTTCTTGATTATTTTCATATGGGACGCATTCATGTCATTTTGAGTTTTTATTGTTTCTATCATTTGGCTACCATTCATTTCCATCTCTTCTGCATCTATTCCAATTATTCTTATCTTAGGCTTCTTCTGCCTATTCGTATTCTTCAGGCCTTGAATTTCACTTTCTTGTGCTGCATTCAGTATGACCGCACCATCTCTACCCTTTTTTACTTTTGTGACTCCAATATGCATGCTCTTGATATCGATTCTTTCTTTTACTTGTTTCTTTGTGGTCTCACTTCCTTGTTCCTGGACTGGTTTCACTATGATGATATTTTCCGATTTGGCTGCTTGCCTATAGCTCTTTGGTTGACTTTGTACAACTTGAATGTTTTGTGGCACAAAGTTCAGTAGATCTTTTTTTATTTTATTTACTTCCTCACTTACAGTTTTCCTAACTAGAGTCTCTAATTCCATATCTTTCCAATAAATAACTTCCTGTTTTATTTCGTCAATTTCTTCTTTAACAATTTCTGTAATGAGTTTTTTAATATCTCTTTTTTCCACTATATTGTGTCTCATGTCACTTACAATTTCTACAATTTTATCAAGCTTCTCATCCAGAGAAGGTATCTTCTCCCCCGTGGATTGTTTCCTCTCCTTGCTACTACTCGCTCCTGTGTTTTTCTTTTCCATTAATAATATGGTTTCTGTGGCCCCTACACAGTGTACTAATTCGTCACCAACGTTGTACTTCTTGTGCAGTTTATGGCAACTCGGATGAAAGATTTTGTCGCATGGAATGCATTTAATTATCTCTTTTAATATTTCCTTTTTGCATCCTCTGCAAATATTTTCATACAGCCCGCTTGTGCTGGCAGTCCTTACCGACCGCGTACTCATATTGAATTCACGACAGTATTTATATTATTCGCCACGTTATCGCGGCAATCTCGATGACGTGACCAGAATATGGCACCTGTCTTCACTGCTATCACTCAACGTTCTTTTCCGATTTTCTTGTATTTCGCCTAAAGTTTATCACTTTCGTCCCTGATAGGTTATTCACTTGATTCTCACATACTTTATACACAGATTGTACACACATTTATCTTCAATTTCACTCAAAAAACCACTTCATTCGACTTAAAATTGTATGGAATGCATTTTATCTCTCTTATATCTCTTTTAATATTTCCTTTTTGCATCCTCTGCAAATATTTTCGTGCAAGTACCCTGTGTACCCTGTACCCTGAGTACTCTCTGTGGTACCCTGAGAGAGACTGAGAGAGACTGAGAGAGACTGAGAGAGACTGAGAGAGACTGAGGGTCTGAGAGACTGAGAGACTGAGAGACAGAGAGACAGAGACATAGAGACAGAGACAGAGAGACAGAGACAAAGACAAAGACAAAGACAAAGACAGAGACAGAGACAGAGACAGAGATAGAGACAGACAGACAGTGTGACGGCGGCACTCGCCTTCGGTTCATGCCGGCAACTTCACTCTCTTCATTAATTACCTACTTTCGCAACTTATCAAACAAATAGCTATTATTTTCGCATTTATACTATCTGTGGAACCTTTGTGAATTTTGCGTATCGCGAATGTCCCTCTAACTTCGCGCGCTAACCGCTCTCCAAGGCGACCTTGTTTGTTGACGTTCCTCGACTCCGCGCCTTCCGCCGATTTCGAAATTGTACTACTCGTTCCGAAAACGTCCTACTATTGCAACGACAATTAAATACTCGTTATAAAATGCTATTTTCTAAACTGGGATATTTTCATGTGCTATAATTTGTTGTGATTTATTGAGATGTTTCTATTGATTGTGTTGCATTTTCCATATTTGCGTCCTGTGTCTTGCGTTGTATAAATTTCGATTTTGAGCTTGTGTCAAAGAACCCGCGCGTATTATCATTTCCTCGGGTTCACGCTAATTTATAATTAGTTATACAAGGAGAGTTCTGGATCCAGATTCCTGCACCGACATATTACCGACCTGTGGGTTCTCATCCGTGCTCAGTTAGCGACGTTGGCGCCCCCTGTGTATGGTAAGTTAGGGTGATTGAGCTCCCTATGAAAGACTTCTGCTGGACGACGGCTCTGGAATTTTTTTTTTGAAGAGTGTGCTGCGTGCGCAGGAGTCGACGACGCCGACCCCTTCATCGGCTGACGTCATCGGAAAGGGGCCCTAGTTTTACGTCAGGTGTCAGGGATTTTACGGCAGGTTTCAGAAATATTACGGCAGGTATCAGGGATTTTACGGCAGATTTCAGAAATATTACATGAGACGTAATTGAGTACATTGACCTTTTGTACGTTACCGAATTTTGTACTTGCGATCCCTAGGCAGCTCCTACCCCCTTTCCCTTTACACCTCCCCGCAGACTAGCATGTGGAGTCGGTGGAGATCAAGAATGACCCTTTGTATGTCACCGAAGAGTTTCGATGACATTTCATCATCATCATCGTCATAACCCCCCTGTTCCTCCTCCGCCTTCTTCGCCACTATCGTTCCGCTACGATACAGTGGCCTTGGAAAGACGGTAAAAATCAAAGGACATGTCAAATTACCCTTTGTACGTTACCGAAAAAATTGTTTAAAATAATTTAATGTGCACTATTTATTTGAGAGGAATTGCGCATCGAGACGACGGATCTTTATTCCAACCATTTTAAATTTGCACTTCACTTATGCAATATCCAGAATAAAGTGAACTCACGTAAAAATTGTATACCCCTTTTGAACTTTGAATCGACTGACTGTTCGAACTTCGCACTCCGACGGTAATGAAATTTCAAGTGAACTGCAATCTCACCATACTTGTTATAGAGTGCCAATGTTTAGGCTAGTGAATAACGCGTCAAGTCCTTCTACGTATCATCAACATTATCGCCCGCGAGATGGTCAACGGTTTTGGCGAGCCGGAAAAATATAGGGTTACACAAAGGCTAGATGAGGTGTTCGGTATGTGTCTTGTTTATATCACCGCCGAGCTGAATAATGTTCTTGGAATGACACACACACACACGCATACACACATTAATGAAGGGATAGACAATTAGAACCGTTGTCGATTTTAATGCACAAGTTTTCGCACCGCTTTTAATATTATTATTATACCTAAAATAGGTAATGATGAGGGGACGTCATGCATTAGACATCTAAAAGACCGCTCGTGATGTAGAGCAATCATTGACGTTCAAACCTCATCTAGTGTACTTTCTTGTAAACGTTTTTAACGAGAGAAAAATGGATTCTACAAAGTGTAAGAAATTGATTAAAATTATGGAAGAAGCAATTAAAGTGCTCAAGAAAGAATCATCGATTGTGGAAATTACAAAGTGGACGAAGTTTGGTACTCAAAATATTCGACTTCTGAACAAAATTCTGAGGAACGTTGCGCTTACGAACGGGGAGAAAACCAAAATCTTGACAACCATTGGAATACTAAAATCGTTGGATTAAAAATTTAAACAGCACCTTCAAAAAAGGGATGAAGGAACTGTGAGAGAGAGAAGAAGTGACAGAGTACGTTGGGATGACTTGGAATCAGCCTTCAAGGGGAGAATAAGAACGGGAGTGATAGCAAATTTGCGACACAAGGACTTGAAGCATTTTTAGGCAGCTCCTACCCCCTTTCCCTTTACACCTCCCCGCAGACTAGCATGTGGAGTCGGTGGAGATCAAGAATGACCCTTTGTATGTCACCGAAGAGTTTCGATGACATTTCATCATCATCATCGTCATAACCCCCCTGTTCCTCCTCCGCCTTCTTCGCCACTATCGTTCCGCTACGATACAGTGGCCTTGGAAAGACGGTAAAAATCAAAGGACATGTCAAATTACCCTTTGTACGTTACCGAAAAAATTGTTTAAAATAATTTAATGTGCACTATTTATTTGAGAGGAATTGCGCATCGAGACGACGGATCTTTATTCCAACCATTTTAAATTTGCACTTCACTTATGCAATATCCAGAATAAAGTGAACTCACGTAAAAATTGTATACCCCTTTTGAACTTTGAATCGACTGACTGTTCGAACTTCGCACTCCGACGGTAATGAAATTTCAAGTGAACTGCAATCTCACCATACTTGTTATAGAGTGCCAATGTTTAGGCTAGTGAATAACGCGTCAAGTCCTTCTACGTATCATCAACATTATCGCCCGCGAGATGGTCAACGGTTTTGGCGAGCCGGAAAAATATAGGGTTACACAAAGGCTAGATGAGGTGTTCGGTATGTGTCTTGTTTATATCACCGCCGAGCTGAATAATGTTCTTGGAATGACACACACACACACGCATACACACATTAATGAAGGGATAGACAATTAGAACCGTTGTCGATTTTAATGCACAAGTTTTCGCACCGCTTTTAATATTATTATTATACCTAAAATAGGTAATGATGAGGGGACGTCATGCATTAGACATCTAAAAGACCGCTCGTGATGTAGAGCAATCATTGACGTTCAAACCTCATCTAGTGTACTTTCTTGTAAACGTTTTTAACGAGAGAAAAATGGATTCTACAAAGTGTAAGAAATTGATTAAAATTATGGAAGAAGCAATTAAAGTGCTCAAGAAAGAATCATCGATTGTGGAAATTACAAAGTGGACGAAGTTTGGTACTCAAAATATTCGACTTCTGAACAAAATTCTGAGGAACGTTGCGCTTACGAACGGGGAGAAAACCAAAATCTTGACAACCATTGGAATACTAAAATCGTTGGATTAAAAATTTAAACAGCACCTTCAAAAAAGGGATGAAGGAACTGTGAGAGAGAGAAGAAGTGACAGAGTACGTTGGGATGACTTGGAATCAGCCTTCAAGGGGAGAATAAGAACGGGAGTGATAGCAAATTTGCGACACAAGGACTTGAAGCATTTTCTGAAAGATTCAAGAAAACTGTTCGCTGTTAGAGTAAAAAATGCGCTCCGAAAACATGGAAATTTGAAAGTGAACGTCGTTTTGTCCTGTAAATTCGAGACTATGAAACGCGGTGAGCTTATTGAGGACCTAAAGTTCTTTAATACGAAAAACGAAGTAATTCTATCATCCACGGAGATCAATGAGTGGTTCAATGTCAATGTACTGGAAAAATTATTAACTAAAATCGAAGACTTCCAAGAAAAAGAATCGGGCTGGTCGTTGTTGGAAATAATAAACTTAGCGGTAAATATCAACAGATATATACCGATACATGGTGGTCTGTCGACATTCATCGAGTTGCCTAAGAACGTGCGGAACAGAAAGGCAGTTGTGAATATTATAAATAACGATCCGTATTTTTTTCTCTGGTCCATTACGGCAGCTCTTCATCCAGCTAAACAAAATGTACAAAAGATCAGTTCGTATCCATATTTCAGGTCAATACTAAAGTACGAAGGTATAAATTTTCCTATTGGCTTGAAGGACATTCCAAAATTGGAAGCGATTAATGATTTAGTGATTAACGTTTACGGTATAGAACGCGATGCGAATAAGGGTGGTAATGAGATAGTACCACTTTATTTAAGCCAACACAGATCAAATAAATCTCCAATTCATCTTCTGATGGTGGAAAGTGAAAATGACGTGGAAAGTGATGATGATGATGATGATGATTTGAATATGGAATTTTTGTCAAAAAGTGGAATTTACCATTTTGCTTGGATCCGAAATTTATCTCGACTGCTAAGTTCTC